CCCCAGTCTGTGAATTCAAGGGCAAGAGGCTTTGTTATGGGCCTTCATGCTCCACCTAATTATGCCACACAGCAGCACTCAGTAAATACTCAGTGGCTTAGCAAAATTCATGGTTGTTCATTCTCCATCCAACATCATAATGTCCTTATAGATTTTCTTCTAGCCATGCTTTTTCCACCACATTCCATATTTTCCATCTGTCACTTCCTAGCAATGGGACTTCAGGCAAGATATTTAACGTCTGTGCTTCAGTTTAACTCTCCTATACACATGGAAATCAATGTCTCGCCCTCGTAGTAAGCACCCAATAAACTTCTCCCAGACAGAGCTATCTGTCCCTTTTGATCGCTGCTGTATACTCATACCAGAAATAACACCTGGCAGAACAGGCCATTACTTAAGGTATGCTGAAACCTTAATGGCATGTACTTCTCTCTGCTGTGGTTTATTTCCAATCCTTTGCTTTGCCTGCCAGTGCCACATCCTCTGTATCCCATATACTCCTGTATCTTTAAAAAAAACCTGGCACCATTCCCTTTAAAATGGGACATTGATCACTATCAAACTCTATGCCCGCAGTCAGAACACTTTACCTGAAATAAATTACATTATACTCCTCAGTCTCCTGCCTACCGACTGTTCAGTTTTAAGTACAGACAATGACCGGGGGTCGGAAAACAATCCCAAGAGCTCTTGAAGTCTAGGACTAAATGCAGAAGCCAACTATTAGAGTCAAGGCTGAGACTAAGAAAAGATGACTATTGCTTTGTGCTTCCACTGAAGGAAGATAACTACTTGAAGTATTCAAACATATACTGAATACAAACAAAGTTACAAACCCCGAAAATCATAAACAGTAATACAAACTTAGCTTACTTTTTAAAAAAAGAATTTTACAAAAATAAAATTACCTAAAATTAAGCCCACCATTGTACTTAAATATCCGGTTCCGCTTCCCAGGTTAAGAAAAGACAATCCTGGTTGAAGTTTCAATGCTTCCATAACTTCAGAATAAATGCAAGGTGCTGACAAGTGTATGTTCCCGTGCTTCCAGGCTAAGTCTTTGTAAGCATTGTCTCTGTAGCCTTCCAAATAGTAATCTCCGCGATCAATTGCTCTGAAGGCTTGCTCCACTCTTTCCGTGCGGATATACTGAGCTTCTTTTAAGTTATCAATTAAGTCATCGTTATCTTCCCCAGCACTCACTGCTCCTCCCATGATAGCATTCAAATCAAATCATAAATTTTAAAATGTAATAAAATTAGCAGAAATGGCTTCCAATAATGTGCAGTACAGTTTGTTTTCCTCTTAATATTGCACTTGATTTCCAAAAATAAATTAATCCTGAAAGGGAATAAAAATAAACAGTTTTAAATTAATGCTCAAAAGGAAAGTAAGTCCAGTTTATTAAATATGTAATCATTATAACTATCATTTCTCAAGGACATATTCTATTCCAGGTATAGTGTAAAGCTCCTTAAATACATTCATGTACTTATTCTTACAACTACAAAAGGTAGTTTAAGTATGACCTCATCTGAACAGATGGGAAGTTTGGAACACAGCAAAGTTAAGTCACCTCATACTATGAGACCTAATACGGTAGCCACCAGTCACATGTGGCTACCTAGACCTAAATTAATTAAAGTTAAATGCAATTTAAATTCAGGCAGTCATACGAACCACATTTGAAGTGCTTAATAGCTACATGTGGCCAGTAGCTGCCATAGTAGACAGTGCTGCTCTATATGGGAGACACTGCTGGGCACAGTTCCAGGTCTTTCAGACTCGAGAAACCACGCTTTTATTCACCAGCCCATGCGGCCCCCTTTAGAGGATTGTGAGTCTATGCATGGACTACTTGATTAATTTAAAACCCTAAACTTAAAAATCTTCTAACAATTCCCAAATGTACCACATAAATTCATAATGATAACACAAAGGATAATATAGTACCCAAACACGACTTACAAACTGTATAAACAAAATATGATCCACATTTTTAAAGTGTGTATGTATGTGTATAAAAAGGTGTTTTGGCCGAAACCGGTTTGGCTCAGTGGATAGAGCGTCGGCCTGCGGACTCAAGGGTCCCGGGTTCGATTCCGGTCAAGGGCATGTACCTGGGTTGTGGGCACATCCCCAGTGGGGGATGTGCAGGAGGCAGCTGATCGATGTTTCT